TGATATATATACAGAAGCATTGGAGTACAGAAATAAGGGCTCTTAGATGGGGGTCTGTCTAAAGGCTTACAGCTTAAAAACAAAGGTGAGAGAACCCAAAGGCCAAGAGGTTTAGGATGGTACAAGCAATATTCCATGCCCTTCAACTAGTCAGGGGTAACCCTGATTAATCCTCTGTCATTCCACTTTTTCAGATGTTTTTCAAATGTCCCAGTTTCTCTTTCATCCTGCCACTTGCCATCTTTGTCCTCAGCTTACCTTCATTGCTGCAAAATGAGTTCCGAGTGCAAAAGTAGTTTGTACGCAGTAAACAAAGCAGGGTGGGAAAGGAAAGTGTGTGGAATCTCGCTCTGCCTTGTAGGCTCAGGCAAAAGCGAACGGTCACAGCCTCTTCTAGACTGTGTGAATAATGTTTGCCATCTTGACCACACTCAGATGTCGCTTGGACACATGTGTCCCAGTTTTCATTTGTGAAATGGCAGAGGGTATGATAATGAATTCCTTTCTTTTCCAGTTTGTCATCTGGATCCAATCTCATCCCTCTTTGTATAGATCAGAGGTGGGGTACATTTGGCCCCTGGGCCACATGTAGCCCTCCTCAGTCTTCCACTTTTAATGCCCTGAAGTTCTCTACGAGTCCCCCAATGACTCCCAAACCTTCCATTTTTGCTACCATCTTTGGGAAATATTTGCCTAAAAGTCACCACCAGAATATGCCCATATGTGGGTACATCTGGTGTTGTTGTGCTCCTTCAAGTCATTTCTGATTTATGGGGGCCCTAAAGTGAACCATAGGATTTCCTTGGCATTTTTCTTCAGAGGGAGTTTGTCATTGCCATCCTCTGAGGCTGAGAGCATGACACTTGCTCAAAGCAATCCAGTGGGTTTCCATAGCTGAGTGGGGATTGAACCCTGGTCTCCCTAGTCCTAATCCAATGCTCCAACCACTATACCACACTGGCATCTACACTGTAGAAATAATGCAGTTTGACACCTTGTTAAGTGGTGGCGCTCCATCATATGGACTCCTGGGATCTGGAGTTTTACAAGCCTCCCCTGCTCTTTGGCTGGTGCCTCACAAAACTACAAATCCCACCCACCCACCTTGAGCTTCATCCTAAAAAAAGGTCCACCCACAAGCCACACTTATAGGCACCTATATCACTAACATTATTTCAGTTAAAGTTTCACAATAAATACCAAATATAGGCCCTGCTCAATGACATCTGGTGGCTGCTAGGTTGGAATCTGCTCCATGTTTTAATCTGATGATGATGATGATGATGATGATGATGATGATGATCTTATTCCCCACCTTTCTCCTGACTCAAAGTGACAGGAGCAATCCTAGTTGCCGAACCAACTGGGACGGAGAGGAGGTCAGGTTCACCATCATGTGTCATTCCTTCCACATTCAGACTAGAACCCAGAGCAGATCCACCATCCTACTGCAATGAAAACTGTCAACCACCACTCGTTCTGTCCCTCTCCGTTCCCAAATGGCCATCCAGGGATCCTCTTTCAGACTTCTAATAACTTTCTTTCCAGTTTAGCCATCTCTAATTTCAATGCTCTCTTTTACAAATGTGATTGTGGCAGCGGGGAAGGGAGAGGGGGTGGATGGGTGGGTGGATGGGAAAATTGTTTACTCTGAAAGAGAAAGCCTCATTGATTCAGGCTCGGAGGCAATTATGAAGAGCATACTTTTCCCTGCATGGCCCCTGCACCTATCAAACAGAAACTGTGAGAGGCGCAACCATTAATCAGCCAAGCTGCTGGAGAGAGCAATGCATTCAGATCAGCTCTGACTCCCTGAAGCTCCTGCTCCCTCTCTCCTTCTTCCCAAACATCTCATTGCTGTGATTGTTTCATTTTCTTTTGAGCCACCTTGAGCCCACTTTTAGACTTTCCAAAGGATGGCTTCCATCCAATGCAAATCTGAATCTTCTTGGTCCGAATGATTGACCCTCAGTCCAGGTTACGGATGGAAAAACTGTATGGAAATATTCAAAAATGGTTGAAAAATGGCTGTCTTGAGTAATAGGACCCCTCGATGAGGATAACGTTAGGCAGGTGAAATTCTTCCCATTGCAAGACTTTATTCTATGCAAAACAAACAAAATGTGTGTGGGTCTTTATGTGTGCAGAAAATGCCATTTTCTGTCCAGAAAGCAGGATTCTTTGCAGAAAACAAGTTTCTGCACAGAGAACAAGTTTCCTACTCTGAAAACAGAATTCTCTGCACATAAAATGTTATTTCCTGCACAGAGAATGCTACTTTCTGTGCAAAATACCCATTTTAAAATTTGTCTTTATTTTTCTAAACAGGAGAATTGTAGCATCATATTCAAGAAAGTCTCCAGGAACAGTGATCTTCCTGTAAGGCAAGGAAAGGAGCATGGCAACTTCAAGAGGCTGCCTCTTCCAAAATGAAATAATAATAATAATAATCTAGAAATGAACTCCCAACCACTTCTAGTCTTGAAACCCTATCCCCTAAATCGGATTTTCCATGGGGTGCAGCTAACAGTGGGCCCTAAGAGGATGGTGTCCACTAATGTGCTAAGTGGCAACAACACACCCCCAAATGTGTAGTGGGATGTGCAACTGAATACTGAATGCATGCACATAAGATGAATGTTGACCTTGCATGCAGTCACAGAATCATAGCATAGGAACAGACCTCAAGGATCATCCAGTCCAATCCCATTCTGCCATGCAGGAATATACAATCAAACCACTTCTGACAAATGGCACATCAGCCCCTCTTTAAAAACTTACAGAGAAGGAGATTCTCACACTCCAAGGCAGTGTACTCCACTGTTGAACAGCTCTTACTGCCAGGAAGGTCTTCCTAATATTGAGGTGGAATCTCTTCTCCTGTAGCTTGAATCCATTGCTCCAGGTTCTCATCGCTGGAGCAGCAGAAAACAAGCTCGCACTATCCTCAATGTGACGCCCCTTCAAATATTTAAAAATGGCTATCATGTCACCTTTTAACCTTTCCCTATCCAGGCTAAACAGACCCAGCTCCCTAAGCCTCTCCTCATAGGGCAGGGTGGTTTCCAGTCTTTTCACCATTTTGGTTGCTCTCCTTTGGACATGCTCCAGCTTTGTCAATATCCCTCTTGAATTGTGGTGCCCAGAACTGGACACAATATTCCAGGTGAGGTCTGACCAAAATGGACTAGAGTGGCACTATTATTTCCCTCGATCTAGACACTGCACTCCTATTGATGCAGCCTAGAATTACTTTGGCTTTCTTGTTGGATTTCAAGGAAACATCTTCTTTGAATTGCAAATGGGCATTATATTTCCTTGACGTTATCTTCCTGTGACCGCATGGCCAAAGGGGGAGGTGCCAGCCTGCAGATAGCCCTCCCTACCATCTGAACTAAGACCAGACATCAAAAATGCAATAACATCTTCAATTTACATCTGAATAACATATTCAATTTTTTTCTCTTGTTTGCCTGATGAAGAAGCCAGTGTGATTTCGAAAGCGTGCAACATGTAATTGTGCATTTTGATTGGCCCAACAAAGGTATCATTGCTTGGATGTTACTGGATTTGCTATATGGCCAACATAGCTACCCCTAGATGTTTTTTGCTCACTCATGTTCAGCCTGTGATCCACTAATCCAAGGTACATCAGAGAAAGATGCTCAGTTACTTCCAATGGGGAATTTACACATTTTAAGACACTAGGAGGATCCCATCCTCCATTTCCTTGATGTCTGGTTTCTTTTAAAATCCAAGCTCTTTCCATCCCAAAAACATACTTACCAAAATGAAATGAAATAAAATTCTCATCTACTCATGTGTATCATGTCAGAGAAGTAGACAGTGGTGGCATAGATGTATCAATGCTCTGGCTCAGTACAGACACCCTCCTTTGTTGCAAACCAGATTTAAGACAAAGCGCCTTGAATACAAATCCATTTGTACATTAAAATGCTGGTGTTATTTTAAGCAATTCACTCTCCCCTATGCCTTTCCTTCCTTTCCCAGTTCTATTTTTGTTTTGCAAATGTCCCCTTTCATTTCGGAGAGAAGATATGTCTACCACCAGAGGGTAGATCCCCATGCTTTTATCCCCTGGGATTTCGTTGAGAAAAATATCTGTCATATCTATCCCAGGATGTTATAAATCAGGAACAATGAATGAATAAATAAGCAGCATGCGTGCATCATTTTGCAAAAACTTTTGGACAGGAGTGAAGAAGCTAATTCTTTAAGTAGCGGCAATGTATTCATTTTGTGAGAACAGTGGAGCAGAAACAGCCGTTCATAAGAAATAAATTGGAAATCACACTTCTTTTCTCAGGGGACAATTGCACCATCAGGAAAGGGTGTGACTAATTTATCTTTCCCCCCCTTGTGTGCGATCTTATTTGAGTATGTGTCCACTTCACTTGCTTGAGCCAGAAGCCTGGGGTTTTTCCTTTAATTGGAAAAGCAAACTAATCCACACAGGTCTGGCGCTGGGCTGATTACCAACCAGTGCCTGTTTTAAGCATTGTAAGAGGAAGAACTGAGAGTTGACTGAAGAGAGAGAAAACTTCTAAGCTAAACTAGGCAACATCATTCACAGCAATTCTTGTATCGGGGTGGGCAAAGTCCAGCCTGGAGTTGCATGTCGCCCTCAAAGCTGTTTTGTGTATCTTTCTTGTTGTGTGCCTTCCAGTCATTTCCAACTTATGGTGACCCTAAAGCATACCTCTCATGGGAGTATCTTGGCATGGTTGGTTCATAGGAGGTTTGTCTTTGCCATCTTTTAAAGCTGAGAGGGTGTGATTTGCCCAAGGCCACCCAATGGATTTCCACAGCTCAGCAGGGATTTGAACCCTGGTCTCCAGAGTCCTAGTCCAGGGCTCAAGCCACTACACCATGCTGGCTTTCTCCATCTTAGACTGCTGCCATGAATTGTACATGGAAAAGTCTTAGAAGACTATTCAAAAACTGGGGTTTGTTCAGGTTCAGCTGCCTGTATTCTTAAGGAGCCATTAGGGTTCAATTGGAGCTGTCCAGAGTCCTGATCCCCTGATCACAGAATCAGAGGGGCCTCCCCACTTACATTTGAATCAGTTTGTGAATTGTGTTGACTCAGTTCCCACTATGGAACTGAATTGCAGTAATGGCACTAGTAGTTCCCAATAGTGCCATTTGTGCTGCTTTGGGGGTGGTGGTGGGTGGTGGGTGGGGACCAGCTCCAGGGCAGGAGGGACCCGATCCAGGTCCCTCAGGGTGGCAGGGCCAATGGAGGCTGAGTATCTGGGAGTCTTGCTCACACTCTCGCTCTCTCGCCTGCTCACCCACTCACTCATGCTCTCTCCCGCCTGCTTGCTTTCTTGCTGGCAATAAAGAGCCCCCAGAGCTCTTCTCTCTGGAGAAGAAGGAGGACAAGAAGGACGAGGAGGATGAGCAGCTGAACAGCCCCTCCAGTAAAATGTAAAATGTGATTCAGGTCCGTCGTTCATACTTGTTGAACACGGTTCTGAATCGATTTATTCCAAAAAGACTACCAGAAAACTACTTTTCAAAAAATGTTGGGTTTTTTTGTATTTGTGGTGGTTCAAAGCAACTCTGAATGATCCAAGTTGCTTCTGAAACCGTGCACAGTGAGAACAAGGCATATACACAGCGAATCACAATTTGTTGTAAATCGTAGTGGGAACGGCCCCATAGAATCAGAGTTGGAAGAGACCACAAGGGTCATCCAGTCCAACCCCCAGCCATGCAGGAACACAGAATCAAAGCACCCCCAAGAGATGGCCATCCAGATTTAAAGACCTCCAAAGAAGGAGACTCCACCATTCTCTGAAGAACCATATTCCACTGTTCAGAGTTGGAAGAGACCAACTTTCAGGAAGCTCCTCCTAAGGTTGAGGTGGAATCTCTTCTCCTGTAGCTTGCATCCATTATTCCATGCTAGTCTCTGGAGCAGCAGAAAACAAGCTTGCTCCATCCTCAATAGGACATCCCTTCAAATATTTGAACAAGGCTATCATATCCCCTCTTAACCATCTCTTCTCCAGACTAAACATCCCCAGTTCCCTAAGTCGTTCCTCATAGGGCTTGGTTTCCAGACCCTTCACCATTTTGGTCACCCTCTTCCAGACACACTCCAGCTTGTCAACATCCTTTTTGAATTGTGAGATACCTGCCCCGACCTGACATGGAGATTCCTTGATTTCTCCCTCTCCTCTTCTCAGCCCAGGAATTTTGCAGAAATTCTTATAATATCACTGGCAGGGGAAAAATGTACTAAATTCCTCATTCTTACATGGGAGAATGCAATGAGCCAATAATTACAGCCCTGTTGGTGTTGTTATTTGTCCTCTAGTCAACTTCAATTTAAGGCAACCCTGTGAATGAGAGGCTTCAAAGAGCCCACTTATCAACTGCCCTGTTCATCTCTTGCTACATCAGGGCTGCACATTCCCTGACTATGGGTGCATCTACACTGTAGAAATAATACAGTTTGACACCACTTTGGGAGTTTTACAAGGTCTTCAGCCTTCTCTGCCAAAGAGAGTTGGTGCCTCACAACAGATCCCAGGTACTGTAGCATGGAGCCCTGACAGTTAAAGCAATGTCAACCTGCATTATTTCTACAGTGTAGATGCACCCCTGGTCAGTCCACCTTTAGTGCAGCTTCCTTTTGCCTTCCACTTTGCTGAGAATGATCATCTTTTCCAGTTAATCAAGTTGCCACAAGATATGTCCAAAGTATGACAGCCTCAGTTTCATCATCTTCACTTTGCAATGAGAGTTCAGGCTTGACTTGCCCTACGTTCCATTTAATTTGTCTTTTTAGCAGTCCACTGTATCCCTAGGAGTTGATCTTCTTCATTGTCCAAGTTTCACGTGTCAAATTTGGAAGTATTATACTTTGTAAGTGTTGGCTCTCTTCTATGTCCTGCTGAAGTGCAGCGATGAAAACAGAAACCTATGCCCATCAGAGATGCCAACTATCTGAAATAACTGTCCCCAACAGTAGCTATTAACAGTAGTGTGCAAAGCACCAGCTCACTTTGCAGTATTTGGCAATATTGCACTGACCAACCTTGAATGATTCACAGACACAGTTGGATTCTTCCAAAGTCCTTGGAGGATTTTGTATTTCTTGTTGCAATATATACAAGGTATTTACAAACGTTCCTCAACAACTCACACTCTTCAACCCACACATGCCCTGAGTCTCAGAGCACTTATACATGGGGGAGATAGCTAAAGGTCAACACTTGGTATTACTTATCATTTCCAGCCATACAAACTATTTTATAACATTTTAAAGGAACGTTGTTCCCAACAGTATGCATGTCCCTAGCCATCTTTTCTAAAATATAGATATATTTGTAATTTAATTAATTAAAAAAAGCAAATAAGTAACCTTAAAAGTCAAACAACATACGTAAAGGTGGCCATGTGATTTTTACCCTTCTCTGTTAAAGGGCTCTGGCTCCACAACAAACTATAAATTCCAGGATTCCACAGCACTGAACCATGATGGTTAAAGCAGAGTCAAAATGCATTATTTCTGCAGTGCCTATTACACCTTGGACTCCAAAATCCATCCGTATGGTGGCAGAAACCCAGCTCACCACACCATTTCTACTTTGAAACCTTCCCACTGCCCCGTGGCCCTCAGTATTTGCTACCTGAGTCTATTACTTCCCTTGGTTTCATGGTAGAACTGGATCTCACACATGCACACTCACATGCACACACCTTGCAAAGCCTTCACAATATATGCGCTTCCTTAACAAGAGGGCTGTTAATAAATAAAAGCGCCAGCACTCAAATACAACTTTGAACATCCCAGCCAGTGAGTCTTCTCAAAGCAGATGTCTTGCAGGCCTGGGATTATGCAGGGAAGAGGATTATTCATCATTCACCTGGTGTGCATTCATAATGATTGCAGCCTGCCTGCAGCCCCAAACAGGATGATGTATATTTCAGTTTTCAATAAATCAAAAGGATCTTCGCCTGGAGATGGAATGGGGCACTAGACCTCTGGCTGCAATTTCAGCAGCCCCAGCAATGAATATCACTGTCAGTCATTGCAACTTTATCCCGCACTTCACCTAAATATGATACATGGCAGATTGAGGAGGAGGGAAAGGAGGAGGAGGAGGAGGAGGGGACTTTAAAATAAAGCTATTTGTGGTAGAGGAATGGACTGGACAGTTTCCAAAGAACCCTGACACTGTTGTGGAGGATGTACTATCAAGTGGAGGAACAGACGCTGCATGAAAATACTGCACAAACTTTGGGGACAAGGTAAACTTTAGGGGCACCCCATGACTCTCTTGCTCATTGGGAGGAGACAGGCAAACAAGTGACCATAGGAAGGAGAAGGAGAAGGAGAAGGAGAAGGAGAAGGAGAAGGAGAAGGAGAAGGAGAAGGAGAAGGAGAAGGAGAAGGAGAAGGAGAAGGAGAAGGAGGAGGAGAAGGAGAAGGAGAAGGAGAAGGAGGATGAAGATGAGGATGAGGATGAGGATGAGGGCCAATAAGCCCAGAAGCTGATGGCTTCCAAGTCAGTGGGGCAATGAATCCAGTCCAGTCTTTAGTTGAGCTACAAAGGGGCACTCTGAAGTGCTGAATCCTACCATTTGAAAGACTGTGTCTCCTTATATGAGCCTGCCTGAGCTTTAAGAACCATGTGGAGGGCTTTCTCTCAGTCCCACCATCATGTCACATGCCTGTCTAGTGAGGACTCTTGTCAGGGCCTTCTAGGTGGTGGCTTTCAGGTTGCAGAACATTCTGCTACTAGAAACTGGGCTGACCCCTCTCTGTTCTCCTCCTGCTCACAAGCAACAGGCTTTTGGCAATTAACTGATTGGGCAGAAATCTTTTTTTAATGGACGTGTGTGCATTGCACTTTTAGTCTAATGGTGGTATTATTTTGTGTCCTCTAAGTCACCTTGAATCCCAAACTAGGGAAAGGACAGGATGTAAATATATGATGGAGGAGGAAGAAGAGGTGGTAGTGGAGGAGGTGATAAAGGAGGAGGAGGAGGAGGAGGAGGAGGA